ATATTAAATGCTACACCTTTTATAGGAACAAGAGTCATTTTTTAAACATGTAACTACTCAAAAGACCATTCCTTTACAAAAGGTCTTGGTGGTTTTACAACTCATTTTTAAAATCCTTTGAAAAAAAAAGTTAATTCCTCTGGTGTTTGAACTGTTTCAAAGCATATGAGTGGATGAGAGACTTTTGAATTATATAAAACTTTGGACTGGCACAATTAAAGATCACCATGAGCCAATGGCACTGATTTATAAAAGAGAACAGTGCAATATTCATAAATCAAGTAGCAAAGGTAATGAACACATCAAACCTAACAAGCAAATCAGTAGACGGGTGATTTTAAAAACACAGGCAGTCCATGACCACATAGAATCACTATGTAAATGTATCAGAAGAAAAAGGCATGTGAGTATTTTTGATGAAGGTGGACAGAGTTTGATAAAATTCAACAACCATTCCTGATAAAAAAAAAAATGTGTATAGAAACTTGTAATTGGATAACATTTTCTACCTGGCATACCTGGTAGGCTTTATGTTCAATGGTGAAATACTAGGAGCATTCCCAGCTAAGTCTGGAAGGAGTTGAAACTGTTGGCTTCCATTGCTCTGACCCAACTTATCATTCTAGAAGGTCCTTGTAGTTGCAATAGGCTAAAGGGCAGGAAGAGGTCAGTAAAGGAAAAACACTGTCATCGTGTACAAGTTGAAGGCACACATGTGCTCATACGCACAGAGTTTAATTTATAAACACATGCAGATGGTTCTGGATGGAGGACACGTAATTGTGAACCAAAGTTTTATCTGAGGAGAGAAGAAAGAGAGACTGAGGGTAAAGAAGGCCCCTGAAAATGGGGCTGGGAAGGTGGCACAGGTACTAAAGTGCTCTCCTGCAGTGCATGAGGACCTGAATGCAGGTCCCAGCATCTGTGATGAAAAGCCTGGCATGGTGGTCGGTGCTGTGATCTCAGCACTGGGGAGGCTGAGGCAGCAGGATCTCAAGGGCTCATAGGTCAGTCAAGCTAGCTCAATCAGTGGGTTTCAGGTTCTGTGAGAGATCCTGCCCTACCCCTATTGAGCTGTTGGCAGTTGATGGTTGCCAAGGAAGAGGGAGTCACTTTCTTTTGGGGATGTGGCTGCCAGTAGGATGTTTTTGCCCCAGTAAATGGTTACACACCCATGTGCATGCAGGCAGCACTGACTGGACTCGAGGTTATTGGTAACAAAAAGAAAAATAGGAAAAAAATAAGACATCAAGTTGGAAGGAAATGGGATGGAGGGTACTAGGAAGAGTTGGATGGAGTTAAGGTGGATGGATATGGTCAATATATACCATATGATGTGTGAAACTTTCAAAGAAGCAAAGAATTTTAATGAGCTGAACAAGGATGTCACCAACGAGCATGCCAAACTGGATGGTGAAAAGCCCACAAGGCCTCAACCCTACATAAAGAACTATAGGCAACTGAGGAAAGCTGGGAGTGGGAGAGGTGGTTCTCCCCAGGGAGCACACAAATTGGTTGTCCAGTATCAAGTAGTCAGCCCTGAAAACATACATACAAGTAACACTATAAAGACCCAACGGGTTATAGTTAGGAATATATATGTATACACACACACTCTTTCTCTCCCCTCCCTTCAAGCATGTAATTTGGGGCTGGCAGTGTAGCTCAGTGATAGGTTAAATATCCACCAAACATGATGCTCTAGGTTTATTCTCCAGCACAAAAAAAGAAAGAGAAAGAGAGATACCACCAGTGATTTTTAGTATAGTCACAAAGTTGTGCAACTATCTCAATACCATTTAATTCTAAAGCATTTTCATCACTGCATAAAGGAAAATCTGCAACCATTAGCAGCCCAATATTTATTTTTAATTTGGGTAGGTGTTGCCACATTGCTTTACCAAAATTAAAGTAACATCCTTTGATATCGTCTCACCACAGTTTCTAGTTGCCCTTACTCTCCTCCCTGCACATAACAGGATCTCACTGGTCTTGTTGAATAAGGACCGAAAATGCAGTGGCCCACTCCTCAGTCTCCACAAAGACACTGCACCATGGCATGCTTTTCACACTCACAAACGTACTGAAACAGCCGGGACAGGATGCCATGACAGGGTTCTTGCCTCACACGAGCAAGGGCTGGTTCCATGCCCAATATTGGAAATGAGAGGACTAAATGCCAACAAAGCGTGTTTTAAAAATTGCATCAAAAGCTGGAGAGATGGCTCAGCACTTAAGAGGATCCTCTGCCCTTGCAGAAGATCTGGGTTTGGATCCCTGTACGTGTCAGGTGACTCACAACCACCTATAACTCCTGCTTCAGGAGATCTGATGCCCTCTTCTGGCTCCTGTGGGCACTGCACCCATGTGCATATGCCTACTCTCCCACCCCAACATACAAACAAATAATTACAAACAAATAATACACTGAAAGTCCAGCCTGACTTCAACAAGCGATTTACAGCCCTTCAGAGGATGTACCACAGTGTACACAGCTACTATCCTGATCATGTCAAGGGCAAAGGCATTCTAGTGACCCCAAGTTCAATGCCATGGCAACCAGGAAACAAAGGCAACAACAGCTTTTTTCCAACCTATGCACTGACCTAATACCAGGTTGCTCTGTCCTCGAATGACAAGTACCTATGTCCACAGTGCCAGCCAACTGAGACTTCCTCTGCACACACTTGCTTCTCCCACTTGCGGGCCTCCAGGCCCCCATTTATCTGGAAAGACTTCACACCCAAGACAACAACTGGTTCTACAAACTGGTCCTAGCTCTGCCCCCTTGGCTCACAGCCCCAGGCTAAGAACACAGCCGGCTCGGCAGCCTGGGTGGACAACGCCTGCTCCCGGTTTTTCCTTTCTTCCTGTGTGTTTTAAGGATCATCCAAAGGGAAGATAATTAGAACCTGCAAGAAAACCCATTGGCAGGCAGGAGGAAAGAAAACTGTGGTGACTTAAGGACGCCGCCACATGTTTATGGGTATGCATTTGTGAGTAACATGGCAATAAAAAAAAAAAGACACGCCTATAAAATGCCACATTCTTCAAAGCCCTATATAAATGACATTCTCTTTTAAGGGGTGGGGGATTCAGGCATGTCCCTTCCTCATCATTACACTTCCAACAAGTGAAAGGAATCCTAATTATACATCTCCTAGTAGTGTGGGCACTTAGAGAGCCAAGTGCACAGAAACACACACACACACACACACACACACACACACACACACAGAGGATGGCGAGATAAAGAAAAGGCACAGAGAGATCTATCTCTCTGTGGTACAGCAGTGCAGTGCTGCAGGACTCTCACCACCTCTCCTTGGGGTTTCTGGCTGCTTGCATTAAACATGCATACTTGAACTCCAAAGCTAGTTTGGTTCCACTCTCCTAAGCGAGTGGCCAGTGTCATCTATCCACCATCAAAGTAAGGGTGTGCCTGTATGTGTGCTCTGCTTTCCTTTCCCTCTGCTTTGCCCACTGTGAGGTGAAGCAGAGCCCTTTGCCTGAGTGAGAGGCTCCAGGACATGCATTCCTGAGTGGCCCTCCCCAGGAGCCAGTTGTGGGCAGGTAACTGAAGCCTGCCTTCTGCCTTGCTGTTAATAAGAGTAATTGGCACACCGCGGAGGGGCTGCTGCAGTGCCGTGATTTGCTCAGTACGGAGGTCTCCCCTGACCAGATGTGTCGGCAGCGGTGATAGAAATATTTTCCATATGAGCTTTCCTCTCGCCTGCTTAAGTGCTCCCGGCTGAGTGAGGTGGGCCCATTTGTCATTAACTCCACATAGTAAAAAAATCAACAGGGAAGTTGCGAACTTCAACTACAAGCAGAGGCCAGTGGTCTTCTTTCAGCTTTCCTAATCTACTAGGCATCTCCACTTCCCTCCCAAGAGCTCTGTTCCCCCAGAGACTACCCACAGCACAGAGGGCTTGGTTAACTACCAGGCGAAAAGCCTGGGACAAATGACCCTGGAGATGAAAGCTCATGGAACCCACCCTTTCCTTGCAGCATGGGCATAGGTTGGGGAAGCATGCTTAGAGGAGAAAAGCAATTACATTATTAGCTTTCAGGACTCACTTGGCTCCTGACAAGGTGAACAAAAGACAAAACTGAGAAGTGGCCTTGTGGCTCTTTTAAAAGATATATCCAGTCACTAGCTTTTCAAAGAGGAAGATGAGTTCACGAGAAAGGCTGCATCTGCATCACTTCAGCCTCTGAGACTTCCCTTCAGTGTTAGCAGTGAAGGGATGGAGGAAGAGTCATTGGTGCCAGCTCATTTGCAGGGCAGGTTGAGGACACCAAATGTTCTTTTTTCGCTGCTCAAAAATCAACACTTCAGGCTCTGCCTACATCCAAACTGGCTCCCGGAGGTATCCTTGATGTTCAGAAACATACCGAGCAAACACATGAGCCAGACCAATAAGAAGCTTTCTCCAAGACCCAAAACATCCCTTTTCTAGGCATATTTGTATCCTGCTTGCTGCCACTTTCCCTCTCCACACTCGTGACAGAAAGTGAAACACAGGTTTACCCGTGCCCATCAAAGTGAAGAAAGAGAAAAGTGTGGCATGAAGACAGGAAAGAAAGGCAATCTCTCACACATGTATATTCTCTCTCAGGCACAGGAGGAAAAATGTCTCGAAGGCAGTTCCTTTCCTGCATCTGTACCAGACCCCACAAGAATCTGACATGCATTGCCCCCAGACCCCTGCAAATGGCAGAAGAAGCGTGCCTTATTCAAGGCATCTGTCACCCAGGCCATGCCAGGTCCCTAGGGTGGCAACTGCATGGACAGGCTCAGCACAAGATTTTAGAAAATACAGGATCCTTCAAGAAGAAAAGAAGTTTCCCTATAAGAAAAGCCTAAAATAAAGTCCTAGAAAGCATTATTTGTCGCACGCCACAAAAACCTATTCCCTGACCCCTCTTCATAGACAGAAGGGGAAATTTAATGCTGATAAAAATAGAACTCTGATGAGATAATTTATTTGGCTTACCTCTCCCCCAGGTCTTGCTAACATTGCTGTCTCAGTGTGGAACAGTGTTAATAACAGGTAGCTGACAAACATTATTACCCAGAGTCAGAGCTACCCTGGAGGAGAATCCGGCTGCCAAGTGCTAAGGCTTGCAGATGCACTTGCGGCTCGGGGATTCCAGCCTGGAGTTCCGTAGGCACCGCGCTGGTTCCCTGGCTCTTTCCCTCACTGTACTACCCCGTGCTCCAAGCTCAGCCTCTGCTCTGAAGAAAAGTGGTAAGCTGATCTCTTCATGTAATAACTTCTCCTGGCTGGGGGAGGGGACAGGAGCCAGCTGGGAGCTGGGGGGCTGCCTTTAACAGAAAGCAGAAAAGGGGAGGGACAGAAATGATCAATGTGGAGGCTGCATCTGGCCTCATTCATGAAAAGGGCTCCAAGGTAAGCACTTCGAATGCAGGGGGATGAGGCAGGCAGGAGAGGCAGTGGGCTGCTGCAGGAGGAGCTGCAGGCTGGCAGCTTGGAGAGCCAGGAGACTCCTGAAGGGCTGTGTGATCTACACAAGTTGCCTCTCTGAGACATAGTTTGTTTTTCCCCCACTGGTCCTAAGTCAAGAGGTGGGTGGATAGTTTCTGCATTCCTTTCCATCTGATTCGATGGCTGCAGAAATCTAGGCAGACTCCATTATCAAAGGTAGCCTGGAAAGTAAAGAAGTCACCAGAGTGCCACCTGCTTGTCACATGAGCATGAGTAAGTATGAACTGGGGAAGCCACTGTATCTCCCTCTTGCTACATTGCTGGGTCATTGTACCTAAATGATAAGAAGTGATGAAGTACGGACAAGTAAGTGAACTCTGGGTGGTTATGGTGTCAAGAGTGTGTGGCCTTGGTGGCCCCTCCTGTGAAATGGGGAAATGCTACACAACGATTAGGAAGATACCTAGGCCACCCAAGCATACAACTTGGCACAGTTTGTGCTAGAGAAATACTAGAGACCCTGTCTTTGTCTTTGGTCTGATGTAACTTCAAAACTCAGCCCCAGAAAGTAAAATAATGAATGCTTGAAAGCTCCAGGTTATGGGTATTATCCTGCATGAATGAGGAACCCCTGAACCTAACTACAGTGTGCAACCTCTTATCATCACTGGTCTTGCAATGATGATTTATTTACTAGTGGGATTTCTGGGGAGGCTTGGGTGAAAAGCCCTTAGAATTCCTCTTGCCAGAGAATCAAGAGAAAGGAGGATGCTCTGGTCCCATATCCACAGACTCCATTTTGGTGATCACTATGAGTCCAACAGTAGATCTTATAGCCATTCTGCTTCCCATACATTCTGATGGTGAGAACACCTGGGATGCCCTTGCTCCCACCCTTACCGCCTCAAAAATCATTCTTCAAGCTATCAGTTTGCCCACAGTGGCCAAGGGATGCAGCAAGGAGGAAAAAAGAAATGTGTAGGGTTTATTTGATCTTAATTTTTGCCGTTGTATCCTCTCCCTTCCTATTCATTGTTATGTGTCCACACTGAGTCTTTTCTGCTTCCTATTAGAGGAGGCACTGTTACTGACTCAGTAGTCTGCCAAAAGTGCAGGCATTATTTAAGAAAGTCCCACTCCTTAAAAGACCAGGGATGTTTCCTAGCCAGGGGTTGGGAAATTCCCTGCAGAGGGTTTGGCAGTAAATATTTTCAGTTTTACAGACCATATGGTCATCACTGTGGCAGCTACTTAACTACCACCACAACGAATGAGCACACCCGATAGATGTGGCTGTGTCACAGTAAAACTTTTCTTGTACAAACAGTCTCTTGTTGGCCTAGAACTTTGCCTGGAAGGCCAGGCTGAACCTAACTAGCCCTCAAGCTTCTGGGAATCTGCCTGTCTCTGCCTCCTATGTCACTATTGCTGAGGTTATAGGCTTGTGTCACTGCACTCAGCTTTACATATGGCTGCTGGGGATCCCAACTCAGGTTCTTGGGCTTTCAGAGCAAGTGTTTTATCAACTGAGGCTGTTTCTCCAATCCCACTACCTGACTTTGGGTACCTCTCCGGTATCTCAGGAGCTCCGGACATGGTACCAGTGGCCCTTCTGTCTTAAAGCACAAGAGATCATGCGTTAGCCCTTATGTGACTTCTTGGCAGCACTAACCATGGCGTCCTTTAAGAGACAGCCAACTTAAGATTTAACCATTGTTCACTATGCAATTGAGCATCATTGGAAACACTTGCAATACTGTGCAGCTCCCTCCTCTGTTTGTTTCCAGAATGTTTTCATCATCCTAACAGAAATTATGTATGCATTAGACCATAACTCCCTACTTCCCTCTTGCCTTAGTCCTTGGCATCCCCTAATCTAGTTTCCATCTCTATGTCTATTCACAGACATGGAATGACACACTTTATCCCCCTCTATCTGACTTATTTCACATAGTGTACTGATTTTAGAAGTATGCTGTGGCATATATCAAAACTTCATTCCTTTTTAAGGCTGATTAATATTCAACTATACAGATATGCTACATTTTGTATTTCTGGCCCTGGTGAATAGCTCTGCAAAGAACACAGGTGTGTGAGCATGCTCTGGAATCTCCGCTTTCAGTTTGTCTGCATCTAAACCTGAAAGCAGAACTGCTGGCTCATACAATGACTCCTGATGCTGCCTCTTCAGCATATCCTACCTGGATGTTTAACTTACTGAGGATCAGCTACACTGTTTTCCATGGTGGTTGCACCACTGACATCTCTACCTGTAATACACAAAGGTGATGTAATACACATCAGGCTGTCTTCATCCCTGGCCAGGGCTTGTCATTTCCCACCTTCTGATACCAGCCTTTGTAGTGGAGTGATGTGCATGTCCTTTTTGAACCACTCTCTTCCATAGTTCCCTGGAGACCCCTGTCTAGTTTTCTTCTCATTAGTCAGCATTTTCTGAGCACTGTGAACACAGCACCACTCTAAACCCGATGACAGCATTATTATGCTAAATAACTTGCCCCATGCCACACAATGTGTTCCATGGGTAGATGGTAGGGACAGTGCTCTGGTTCTAGCACCCACACCTCACAACTAGAACCCATCTCTGAATGCCAGAAAAGCACTGCCACCATTTTCCTAAACATTCTCCAGTCTCCATAACACCTCTTGGGGCTGAGCTTCTAAACGCCCGTGTTGCAGGCCATTTCCCTTCTACATCTGCTCTCCTGGGGCCAGCTCACTAGTTTACGAGGGTGGTCCTCAAGCACCCTTTATATACTCATTGCTGCCCATGACTAGTTACAGCCATGACTTCCCCCTGACCTGCAGGCCCACAGATCCAGTTGTCTAGTGCACAGGTCTATTTCCCTGCTGTACCCCAAATTCAACAGGTCTAAAACAGAACAGCTTCCCTGAAAACCCATTTTTCCTCCTGTTTCTTGTCATCTCTCCATGAATGATGTCATTTTGTACAACAGCATTGCCTATGTAATTCCAGAGGCTGAAGGTGTGACGACATGGCTCTTGCCACCCCCTCCCTACTTTATTTAAGGCACCACTGAGTCATACAGAGATTCTGTCTAGCCACCTGTCTGGAGTCCTGCTATCCTTGTTCCCTTCCAGCCCTCCACCATTTGTCTCACTGTGATTTTTTGTGGCCACCCCCTTTTTTCTCCCTCCAACTTTCTCCAGCCAAAGCACCAGTAAGATGCAAGACTATCACGCTGCTCTTCTAATTTCTAAAACCTTTTTATTCCAGAAAAGTATTCAGACATAATTCAATATGAACAGAATAGTTGCACACGGAGATGAAAACGAGTTCTTCCTAATGTTAGTGTCTTAAATAGCTGGGGCACAGTCTTGAAAAATAAGATGTTGTGTGTGGTGGTGGTGGTGCACACCTTTAATCCCAGCACTCGGGAGGCAGAGGCAGATCTCTGTGAGTTCGAGGCCAGCCTGGTCTCCAGAGCAAGTTCCAGGACAGGCTCCAAAGCTACACAGAGATAGCCTGTCTCGAAAAACAAAAATAAATAAATAAATAAATAAAACCTAAAAACAAACAAAACAACAACAACAACAACAAAAACAAAAAACAAACAAGCAAGCTAAGAGGTTACCACTGTGCAATAATATTAATTTATCTGTGGACTTGTTTCTGATTTTTCACAAAATCTCCACTTCCTGTTTTAGAATCCAATCCATAATGACAGGTTTGAGGGAAGAATAGCACGGAGGTGACATGCCCATGCATCAGGGGTGTACAATGTCAACATGGTACTCTGCAGACAATGTTTACCTTGACTGACATGGCCAAAGCAGCATCAGCCAGGTTTCTTCATGAGTAAAACTACTTTATTTCCCTTCCCAAATTATACTCATTATAAATGTGTCTGCAAGTCTAGAATTAATTCCTACTTGCTGGGGAGGTTGTACCAAAGAATATTGGGACATGTGTTAAAAATATCACCCCACTAATAAATATTCGGGGAGATGTTTTAAGGCTATGCAGATATTCCCATTCTGCTTAGAGTCTGACCAGTGTTAGCATCTATCTATAGTAAATTGCTACTACAGTGGCCTGGGTGACTTTTCTGTCTCCTTCATGCTTTCTACATATACAAAACAGAACTCACCAGTGTGGACGCTTTGCCTCCTTCTCCTATTAGCTCCAACATTTATACTCCCCTACTTCTTCCATGGCTTTCCCTCAAGGATGGTGCTGAAACCTCTTATACGACAATTGTGACCCAGGCTCTTCTGCCCTCCTAGCTCCTCCCTCTGTCTCTGTTCACAGCCACGCCACTTTCCAGCCACTTCATCCACAAGAAACCACCCCAAACTACCACACGTCCCTGGGTTCCATGCCTTCCTCCACATTAGCTCCTTCTAGAATGTCATTTTGCAAGCCTCACTGACTGAGCTCCCACTGCTCATGGCCTCTGAGAACTCAGCTCGGATTGTCTGGATGCACTAAGTATCGGGAACTATGTAAATGCCCAACGGGAAGGACAAATAGAACAACCTGTGATATCCACAAAATGAGAGGCTTTGCCCCAATGCTCTGCTGTTGTTCTGAGACAGCCCAGTCGGGCTTTGAGTTTTCAATCTTCATGCCTTAG